AGAAATGCCCAGTTTTCCAAAATATATGATGCCTTATTAAAACCCAATTAAAAAACATCACTCAAACAATTTTTCAAGGGGGTAGTCCATGAGCAACCCTGACACATAATAGTGTGGTTTGTTTGGAGGGTACACTATTGTGTCCTGCTGTTTCCTGAGGTCATGATTTTTTGATTTTTTCAATCATTTCCTTTACCTTTTCCTTTGCTAAAGTTTTTTCTTTTAATTACTTAATTACTTTCTTAGTTTCTTTATTTGAAATTCTCAGAAATGCCCAGTTTTCCAAAATATATGATGCCTTATTAAAACCTAATTAAAAAACACCACTCAAACAATTTTTCAAGGGGGTAGTCCATGAGCAACCCTGATACACAATAGTGTGGTTTGTTTGGAGGGTACACTATTGTGTCCAGCTGCTTTCCTGAGGTCATGACTTTTTGATTTTTTCAATCATTTCCTTTACCTTTTCCTTTGCTAAAGTTTTTTTCTTTTACTTAATTACTTTCTTAGTTTCTTTCATTTGAAATTCTCAGAAATGCCCAGTTTTCCAAAATATATGATGCCTTATTAAAACCCAATTAAAAAACATCACTCAAACAATTTTTCAAGGGGGTAGTCCATGAGCAACCCTGACACATAATAGTGTGGTTTGTTTGGAGGGTACACTATTGTGTCCAGCTGCTTTCCTGAGGTCATGAGTTTTTGATTTTTTTCAATCATTTCCTTTACCTTTTCCTTTGCTAAAGTCTTTTCTTTTACTTAATTACTTTCTTACTATTGGATTTCTATGGGATGTCGATTGAAAGTAAATTGGCAGTAAATTGAAATCAGTTGAAAGTAAATTCAAAGTAAATTGAAAGTAAATTGAAATCAATTGAAAGTAAATTGAAATCAATTGAAAGTAAATTGAAATCAATTGAAAATAAATTGAAATCAATTGAAAGTAAATTGAAATCAATTGAAAGTAAATTGAAATCAATTGAAAGTAAATTGAAATCAATTGAAAGTAAATTGAAATTAATTGAAAGTAAATTGAAATCAATTGCAAGTAAATTGAAATTAATTGAAAGTAAATTGAAATTAATTGAAAGTAAATTGAAATCAATTGCAAGTAAATTGAAATCAATGGAAAGTAAATTGAAATCAATTGAAAGTAACTTCAAATCAATTGAAAGTAAATTGAAACCAATTGAAAGTAAATTGAAATCAATTCAAAGTAACTTCAAATCAATTCAAAATAAATTGAAATCAATTGAAAGTAAATTGAAATCAATTGAAAGTAAATTGAAATCAATTGAAAGTAAATTGAAATCAATTCAAAGTAACTTCAAATCAATTCAAAATAAATTGAAATCAATTGAAAGTAAATTGAAATCAATTGAAAGTAAATTGAAATCAATTGAAAGTAAATTGAAATCAATTCAAAATAAATTGAAATCAATTGAAGGTAAATTGAAATCAATTGAAAGTAAAAGGAAATCAATTCAAAGTAACTTCAAATCAATTTATAATAAATTGAAATCAATTGAAAGTAAATTGAAATCAATTTAAATCTATCATTTTTTTTTTATTTCACACTATTGCGTACCCGGTACTTTGTTTTTTCCACACTATTCTGTATCCAAAATTTGTTAAGGGGGGAGGGGGGGGGCCTCCCCACACTAATCTGTATCCTGCATTAATAATATAATAATAAGATCCAATCCATAACTCAATGATTATTATTAACAACCCATCCCTGCCTCCTATTCCCTGCGTTCACCAAGGCGTACATCTCCAAAAGCTTCCCAAAGTGTGACTTCATCACCGGCGCCTCGCGCGCGCCGTGATGCCAAAAGGTGCCTTGGTCGGCGTGGTGACCCAATGGGAAGTCTAGCCCTAGAATTGATGGTTCATGTTAGTCGTCCCCAAATGGCAAGTTTTGGGAGTTGACACCGTTTTCAGATCAACCTATACATATATACTGTACTACTAATATGTATTAGCTAAACCCAAAAGGTCGCTGCGGCCTGTTTTTGAAGTTATTTAGACGTATTGAACGTGGGGGGGCGTACGGCCATCTGAGCGAGGGTACGGCGGGCGAACGGGGGGGGAACGGGGGGGCGAACGGGGGGACGAACCGGGGGGCGAACGGGGGGGCGAACGCACACATGCACACACGTACGAACATACGTACGCACAGACGTACGCACGTACGTTCGCACGTATGCACGTACGTAGGTACCATGTTCAGACCCATGTTCAAGCCCATGTTCAGACCCATGTTCAGAAATAAGGTTACCTTTGAAAAGTGACCTCCTAATACTAAATATGCTTTAGGAGGCTTAGGGTCGTACAGAAATAAGGTTACCTTTTATATAAAAGGTAACCTTAAAGGTTATTTCTGAACATGCATGTGAACGTGCGTGCGTACATGCACATGAACGTGCGTGCGTGCATGCGTACGTACGTGCGTACATGCGTATGTGCGACCCCTTCGTGCGACCCCTTAATGCGCCCTCAAGGGGGTGGGCCCGCCCTCAAAATTGCACGGGTTTCGAATACCAACAACTTTGTACCAGTATTCTTGGGTTGTATAAGTAGGTGTAAAATAATTTCGGCACAGGTTGACTGTACTAATTATCACCAGGCAAAACAAGACTAGTCGAATCGTTCGCCCGTCCGCTCGCCCCCCCGCTCGCTCGTGCGGGCGACGTTCGTCCACCCGTTCGCCCGCATGTTCGCCCCTACGTTCGCCCCCCCGCTAACTCTTCGTGCGGTTTTCAACATATCCACGGCAGCGAGTTTTTGAGTTTAGCTAAAATATGTATTATAATAGGAACAAAATGATGAAGCATCCAAGTTGATCTAGGTTGGAACTGCCCATGTTCAGACAGACTCACAACATTTCAGGATGTGGGTGAGCAACGGTTGGAATCAATTTTCAATCATGTTGACCATGTTGCCAGGCTTTAGTACTCTAACAAAGCTATAGCAAATGGATGCAAATGGGCCATTTAGTTCGATTAAGTACCTGCACCAGTTGATAGGTTATCCCATTATTTCTAGGGTTTGAACCATTGATGGCGATGCAGGATGTCTTCCGTATGAAAAACGGTGATTTCATAGCCTAAATCTGGGAATGCTCCTTGGCTGATCGAGCCTTACGAAAAATGGACTAATAACTGGCTAATAACTGGGAAATAGCCTCAAAAAAAATCAGTGACTTTTAGCTTTTAGCCATGGACCCATGGCTACTCTTTGAGAGTGTCATGATCATCCTGAATGCTTCATCAATGGCCATACAACCCAGTTGAACCCTACGACATTCCCGACTCGCAAAATAATGCATTCGCTGATTTCCAAGATATAAATCGTTACCGTTAAATGCTTACATGATCCGATTAGTTAATGTCAACCCTGGATTATTGAACCCTTCTTGATTAGAAAACTGCGGTTATCCCTCAAGAGCTGGAAAATTGCCACTAAAATGGTACTCCCCCCAATTGAACAGTCCACGGGTTAGTAACAGTACAACAAAAACACTGTCCCAACGGATTTTGAAATGTGCGGTGGATTCACCTCTGCTCTGATTCCAGAAATTCTGTAGGTATTGGTGAATCCATTTCGCCGCGTTATGAGCTCCGGTAGATTCTGGTCCGCCGTCCTTCGCAGAAAATTGGTTGGTCGCAGGCTAAGATTCTGCGCAGGCCAACAGGCTTTAATCCGCTGCATGACAAATTCACTTGCATCTTTAGGTGTTAGTCCAGACTGCTGCGAGCCCAATGATCACAGAGATTGATGGCTAGTTCCAGCCCTGAGCGATGGTATGAGGGGATTTGTGACCTGCTGATTTTGATTTCGAAACACAGTCACAGTTTGATAGATACACACTTAGATCCGCATTCACCAAGCAAAAAATGGTGAAAGTCCCCCCAGTAATTAATGGGTACTAGCATATTTTAGCCCATTTTTTAGGATACACTTTTAGGGTCTAGGTATGTGATAATGGTGTTTGGTGAGGCTCATCCATTGAAGCCAAAGCGGGCGACGGATTTGTTTCGGAGTTGCGCGACACAGAATTCCTCGAATCATCGACTGCAGTGTACTGTGTACTTATAATTAAGGTTGAGTTGTGGGTTTTTGAATTTGATGAATTGTCAGAGGCTGCTAGAATATCAAGCACTCTGGTGCCTGCCAGAACTGGAACTTGATACCATTTGATACCACTTTAGCGGGGGCATGACAAAGCACAATCATTCTGCACTGAAGTCTGGAAGTGTTTAAAGATGTTTAAATGTGAAGAAAAAAACTATAAAAAACTAACATATCCACAGCAACGCCTTGTAGATCTCGGCATCTCTCGGCTGTGTTGGAACCATAGAGATCTGATCCTCTGTCGGAAATGGTAGATTGGAGCCACGCGCCAGTGCCAGGTCGCAGCCTCTCTTTTCGACGGAGGGATTCATGAGATTTGAAGACCCACGTCAGCATTCATTTCCAAGGTCCAAAGTGGAAAGCAATGTTACTGATTGCTTCCTACAACTTACAATACGACCATCATACTTGGAGGTTTCCTAAAATGAGAGATTCTCAAAACCATAGGTTTCAATCTCAAATGGTCTCATTTTGGATATTTTGGTGGTACCTCTATTTTCGGAAACACCATGCATATAGTTTATAGAAGCAAGAACTCCATTCTGAAAGTCCAGTAGCCCCTAATTATGGCTGGTTGTAACCCCATTTACTGGGACTATGGCCTTGGTTGGCCTTGAATAAGTTGGAAACGTTGGATGTTGAAGAGATGTGATTTACCATATATGTTTACCACTTGGATGTGCATCCCATGTATACTGTAGTATCCGCGGTTTATAATTCATAACCCCTAAAATCCCATGTATATAAGGGAGTATTCCATAGTTGAGACATGTTGAGGCCTCTTCCGCATTGACTAAGTGGGGAAAGAACCCCCCCAGGCATAGCCACCACGTTCCCCACATAGCCAACGCCACCCCGCCGCCATGGCTCTGGTGCGTCGCCAGCGCGCTTACTGCCTCTCCCTGCCGCAGCGGCCAGAGCGCTTCGCACGGGCGGAAGCAGCGCTGAAGGTCTGACTTGGTGGAAAATCCACCATTTCTAGAGGATTTCCCAACCTATAGGATCCATGTATGCTATATAAGGTCACATTTACCATCAATATACCCCCAATGTTAGCATATATATATATATATACACCATACATGGATCCTATGGGCAATGAGACCACCATTTAGAAGTGGAGGTTTGAATGGACAAATCCTCTACATACGGAGGTTTAATGTGTATATCATCTATAAATAAATAATGCAGGATTTTCGAGTGCCATGTTTTACATGAAGGTACCGACTGAATCCAAGTGGACTACGGTTTTCCCTCACTTTACTCTCGCATTTTTTTGCATGTACCCAACAATGGTAGATACATAAGCAGCTGACTTTCAGGGGTATAAAGGAACCCTTTTGATGATTAAGAACATGGACTATGATTATGATATAGTTATATGATAACTATTTGCAAACATACATATGCACATATAAAGATGTGCCTGACAGTTCATGTTATAGATGGGTAGGGATATCATGGCAATATCATGGAAAACTAGCCATTGTATGGGTATAGCAGTGATTGGATAAAACTGACAAACAATATGATATTATATGTTTTAGTTCATTGGTGTTTTTGGTTATTATGAAATGGATGATATATATGTACATATAAATATGTATGTACTCAGAACCAACCAAATTATAAACTTATATTGATTTGTCAGAAAATTGAGAAATGACACCCAATTATGGTCACTTTTATAGGAGACAAATCTAGAACATGATGACTCAGTAATGGATTTTGAGGTTACCATGTTATCAGACAAAGACTGTTTTTGTTAGGAATGAGTATGAGGTGGGATATGTCGTGGCCAGCCAAACATGTTCCCTGTTTTGTGCAGTATCCAGGCCCTGCTGGCAGATGCCCTGCAAACAACATAGAAAGAAGCCATCTTCAAAACAAATCGATTTAGTAGTAGAAATATAATATATATCAAATCATATCGTCATGGTGACCAGTCATGCAGTGTGATTAGTGATGAACACTTGCTATCCTGGTTGGTGGTTTCAAAATGTTTGTATTTTTCCATACATTGGGAATAATCATCCCAACTGACTTTCATATTTTTCAGAGTGGTTGAAACCACCAACAAGCATATAAACGGTGTCATATATGGGTGTGTCTTACAATGGGCTATACTCCCTGCACAAGTCGGTTTGTCTTATATTCCCAACATATTCATATTGCCATTACATTTCCTATTTTTAGACAAAGCCATCTCGTATGTAATCATGCGATAGAAACAAAGGGTAACGTATATTCCATTATATTACTATATATATGTATATATATATATACTGAATATGTATATAAATATGATAATTATTTAATAAATGTACTTGCATAGTACATATATATATATATATGATATATATATATAGATTAAACTAGAGATATGATGCGTAGACGATACCTAAATAGCTACAGCCGTCCCTGGAAGGAAGCCTTGGAGCCTCTAATCGAGCTTGAGATGTTCCCAGGAATCTACGGAGCCTGGGATGAGATGCTGCAACCGCCATGGCGGATTTGGTCGATTTGGTCTTGGATTTGCATCTGAGAAAGTCACCAGGGCAAAACCTGCCCTCTGGTAAACTAACATAGCTATGGAAAATCACACTCTTTAATAGGTAAATTAACTATGGCCATTTTCAATAGCTATGTTAAATTACCAGAGGGTATCACTTACCCGGTATGGTCTGTAGCATAGCTATGGAATATGGCCCACCTATAGTGGGTAAAATGAGTCGACTTTCAGGGCAAATCTCGTGATCAGAAGCTGCTTTTGATTGGCTGCGCCACTATCGCAACTAAGCACTGCTTCTGTCCTTCAACTGGTTTGTGATATTTATTGAACAAGAAAATCGAAACTGATCCAACTGGATTTCGATGAGGAAATGACTTCCGGCATCTGTTGCCGGACTTGGACGCCCTGGAAGAAAGCCTGGGATGTAAGTTGTACCGCCAGTGGCCAATCTGCGAGGCAGGGCAGCTCAGGCCCTCAAATTGTACTTACCTGAACCCTCAAGTAGCCATTCAAGAAATGTGTACGTCGACCTATTTTTTTTGGTTGACCATTCATTGGCTGGTCGATATTCACCATTTCTCAGCCACGGTTCCTGGTGACGGTTTGCGATGCTGAGCTTTGAAGCAACACATTTGTATTTGAGATATTCTAGTTTTGTAATGCTATACAGCTATACGTAAAAAATAAATAAATATATATATATATATATTTTTTGTTTTATTTATAGTTACATGCAAGGCTTCTCAGCACACCCACATTCAAGTTTTTTTGGTTTGCTGAGTTGTCAAGTTTTCTCAGTTGCTAAAAAAGTCAATTTCATACAAGGCAGGGTTGAAGCAAACTGCTGCGATTCACTCCAAGACTTGATGGTCAACATTTCGGAGTTTGTCTTTCTTACTTGCCCTCCGGCAATATATCAGAATCTCACATGTTAGTGACGACAAATAGATGACTGCCCTTTAAAACAACAAACGCATGTATGTAAAAATATAATGTATGTAAATGTATAATGATTATAATGTATGTAAATATATAATGAACATAATGTATGTAAATATATAATGATTATAATGTATGTAAATATATAATGATTATAATGTATGTATGTATACACATTGAATTTCTCACTGCTGTCCTGTCCCAGAGATTTGGTAATTTAGCATAGCTATTGAAATTCACCATGTTTGATGATAAAATCATTGAACTCAATCGGTCATTTTCCATAGTCAACCTCAACATTTCAGATAGTGTTCGCTATATGTCCGAGCATATATATACATATATAAATATATATATACATATATAAATATTTATTTATATATATATATATATACATATATATTATACATATATATATACATATACATATATATATACATATATATATATATATACATATATATATACATATATACATATGATTAGTTATTTGGAAAATTGTTATTTTTCCATCCATATATATATATATTGGGAATAATCATCCCAGCTGACTTTCATATTTTTCAGAGAGGTGGCTCAACCACCAACCGTTGTATAACTCATGATGATCCCATTTCCTACGAGGTGGAGGATGTCCTGCGCATGCGGCCAGATCTGGCGGAGCTGCCGGAGTGGAAGATATGGGAGAGCTACATCAGTTGGTGTCTCGGAATCAGTTGATCCGTATCTTGAAAACTATGGTTATATCACGTGTATTCACGTGTTATATCAGTTATATCCTATGACACCCCAAGGGAAAAATCATGTCATTACTGGGTCATATTATTTTATATCCCAAAAGTTAAGAACCCCAGTATTCTTGATGGTTCACATCCCTGTCGTCATGAGGGACCCGGGGACCATGAAGTCGTATTGAAACAACCAAGACTGGTGACGACTGGGGATCCCTTTTTTTTTCAGAAAGCGCCATTTTATGGGGACCTCAAAATATGGGATATAAAGTATATCCCATATGCTCCGTGTATGGTATATTTACCTACATTTGGGCGATATTGGGGGTAAATGTTGTTAAATAGTCCATACATGGAGCATATGGGTATGTGCATGTATATGTATATGTATATATATATATATACATATATGTATATGTATATATACTGTATATGTATGTATATATATATATATGTATGTATGTATATATATATATATACACATAACCTGTAGATAAACATGGATATGAACCATCAATAACTGGGAAGTAAGCAAAGTTATACCCAGATGAATTTGTCTGAAAATTGGTATTATACATGGAGAGCGATAGAAAGAAAGATAGATAGATGGTAAAGATAGGCAGGTATAGATAGGTATAAGCCTGGATATACTCCTTGTTTAAGCGAATTTGTCTTAGAATGGTTGACCTCAAATGATAATCCAAATCATGATATTGATCATGTTGAATGGGGATAATGGGGAACCAATGGTGGAGGTCTCCCATGCTCTATGGTATCCGCCATGTGGGGAGCAGAAATGGCTTCTTTGAGGATCTAGGTACATTTCATTTGAAGCATCTCAGATAGATTGCTTGGAGCTTTATTTTTCGCAATCAGCCTTTCCTAATATTGATCAGCCCGCAAACATAAAAACATATACTTCAGTAAGAGAATGTAAGATATAGAAACACGGTACCACGGCGTGACCAGCCTCTCCATGGGCGTTGTTTTTTAAGAACGGGGAAGAACGGCGTTTTCAGCTGGCGGCCTGGTGCATCATCATCATTGTCCCCCTTTTCCATTGCAAAGTTATGGGCCCTATGGCGAGGGAATGTTTCAATTCCATTCGCAGACATAGCCATTTTTTTGTGTTGCATTGCGGATGGATGAGAGATTTTCAACAGGCAAATCTTGGTCATCGCAAATGTTCCCAGACGTTTTTTCCCTGGTTTTTTCCTTTGTTTCCCAAATGATAATGCCCCTTTTGTGACTGGGGCCCTGGGGAAGAATCCCGAGAATAGCGAGTTCGTCGTTGTGGATTCAACCTGACGTGACCGGTGACCCATGGTTTTTTGAGCCATGGATGTGGTTGTTGCTTGAATAGCTAACAGCTGACCATCTATGAATCTGTTATGATTCGTGTCAATCGTATTGAGCATCTATAATGAATATGTTGAATGTTTATGCTTTGTGACGTATGATGTTATCCAAATGGAGTGTTGTTGGAAGGATCCGTTTCTTTTTTTCCCAGTGTTACGCGCGCGATGCACCTGGGAATTGGGAAGAGCTTGTACGATCCAGAACTTGTTGTTGAAATTGTGTCGTAGGCATACTTCTCTCTCTGTAAATTTATTTGTATTTAATATAATATATACACATGTGTGATCATGTGTGTGTGTGCTCCAAGTATCAACTGTATGTCTTATGTATAGACCTGGGTGTTCCTAGAATTGTCACAAAACAAGGCAGTACAAGTTTAGTGTCAGAACTTAGAGAAATAAAGAGAAATAAGTAAATCGCAATTGAGGCTTTCAGATTTTTTGTCGAAGGACCAGCCGTTGTAGGCCAACGGGTCGCAACGTCTTCTCGTTCTGGGGGTCGTAGACTTCCTGATCTTCCTGCCAGGCACAAGTGTTGGATCTCGGATCGTGCCAGCAACTACATTGACTTCTACAATCGCCACTTGAAGCTTGGAGATGCTTGGTGCGAGACGTCAGAAGGAACCCAGGGGTTACCACTTTGTAAGATGCCTTCACAGTTGCCTTGATTGTCAAAGTGCCCATTTTACAATGGATACAATATATAAACCATTATAAATCTATGATAATATGCTATAACTGGCTATGACAATACCTATTTTCATGGATACTTGTTGGGTTTTGGTGCACAAGTATGTCTATCGCATAGTTGCACATGTGTCACAAACGATTACTATATATATATATATATTTTTTCAATAGTGATTTTAACGTGCAGGGGCTGTCGTCGATTTGTCCAACATCTTGTCCACTTTTGTAGAATAATGAACGATACTATAATTAATGACTCACCGTCTTCATCCTGACATTTAAATCATTTAATAATAGTTTATTCGGATATGATCATGATCATGACGGTCTGAATCAGAACACCAGAATGATATGACAATCACAGTACCATGCGCCTTGCCGTCGCGACATCCATCGAATCTTGGAAAGCGAAGTGGTCGAGTTGGTGGCCTCGAGTTCGCCTGCAATCAAGCATCTGCATGTCGTATACATCGATTTGAATATCTGCTATAATCTGCTACTCACCAGATTGGTTCAAAATGGTTCAAAATATAGTGTGCCCAAAAAATGCTCATGATAAACATCTTTGGTTCCCAGGGTTTGAATTGTTGATCCATGACTTGGGCTAACTATTGTGGGCAAGGCCGGATTCTTTTGAACCATCCACATTTGCCGGAAACAAACATGGGTCAGAATTCTCCCAAAAATTGGACGACGACATGCGTTTGTTTTTGGAGCCATCACCCCAACTGTCGACGATGTTTCTTCGAGGAAGTGGCCGCGTGTGTGGGGCACTTCCGACTTTGGCAAAAAGCCATGGAGGATGTGTCTTGGTCGCTGGGAACGATGGAGATGATGGAGACTGGGGGTGGGTAGTATACCCTTTGGTACACAATTGTGGCTGGAAGGAACATTGCAAATTGAAGTGTGAAATCTTCCAGCAGGCGCTGCGTTGTTTACTGATGGGAATCCTGAAAAGGAACTGTTTATGAGTTGCAGAGTGGCGGAATTGTTGCAGCTTGGCGATTTTGCCCGTTTGTGTATGTGTGTACTATGTACACACACAGAGATGTTGCATATGTGTTTTTTCCTCAGCCTTTTCCGGTCTGTTCCTCTCAACTGGCAAGCTGATGTTTCGTAGGTGGGGCGCATGGGGTAGTACTGGGATATAGGCGGTTCCTATATGCTCCCGCCAACCAGACAGTCTAGGTGTACTTTTAGAAGTTGGCTCTTGGGTATTCCTCCATTTTGAAATACCTTGTCATAACAGACCTTGTGCCATTATTTGTCGAACTCAGATCCTGACAACATTAAGAGTCCCCTGTATTTTTGTCTACAAACTCATATCGAAACAAGTCCCTTACTGAATAGAATGCAATTAGATACAGTGTATAGTCTTATATATCATATATCATACATCATATATCATATATCATATATCATATATCATATATATACATATATATATATATATCATATATCATATATCATATATCATATATCATATATCATATATCATATATCATATATATATATACATATATATATACTATATATATATCATATATCATATACCATATATCATTTATCATATATATATATATATATATACATATATCATATATCATATATCATATATCATATATCATATAGCATATAGCATATAGCATATATCATATTTCATATATCATATATCATACATATATATATTATGATATATTGATGTTTGTTTTGGGTGACTGAGGACGTTGATCTTTGTTTGATCTTTGAAGATGATGCCCGCTTGGCTGGTGCCTTGGTTTGGCATTGCCGGGATACGGCTGGGATGCCCAGGTGGATGTACGGCGTCCGAATCTTCCACCAGCTTCACTAATGCAGCAGCATGGTTTTTGTACAGACATCTACCCTCTGGTAATTTGTCACATAACTATGGAAAATCACCATTTAGTTCGTGACTTTTCCCCATGAAAAATGGTGATTTTCCACAGTTATGTTAGTTTACCAGAGGGTACATCATTACATCTATAAAGCTCAAACATCAGCAACCTAGATTTTTTTAGAGTTGATTTCACGAACTAGCTGCAGGAAGCCAAAGAGAGGTTGCGTTTTTCACCATGATTCATCAGATGTACACTGCAAGCTGGTACTCAATGGTATTTTCCACCATGGAAATGAACTGAATGAAAATATACGAGGGTTTCTTCACTTCCGGGATCCCCCAAGTCAGCATGGTTATTTTACTATAAATGATCTTATAATTACTTGGTTTATTTTTGGGGTACCATTTTTTTCAAAAAACAAGGAAACCTCCACATATATATATATATATATACACATCAGGTGTTGTATGTACAGTACATATAGCAGCACCATGGACTGGTTTGTGGTTTCACATGGTAAACCGTGGGAAACCGATGGACTCCGCCCGTGCACGGGTCCAGCGGTGCCCGGTGCCCTTCAGGGAGAGATGCCGTTGAGCAGATCCTCTGCGAATTCCAGGTGTTGGAGGCCTCGGACACAGGACACAAAAAATCACCAGGTGAACTCGCGCTTTTTTCGTCAAATATGGCCATCTTACTGGTGCTGAACGTAGGGAATGGATGGGTTGCTGGGGTTGCTGGGATTATAAATAGTTATTGTGGATCATTCCCGAAAATTCCCTACGTTTAGCACCAGTAAGCCATTCAGTTTCTTAAACATATTCTCAGTGGGAACGACCGATGATTGCGAATGTGATGAGGTACATTAAAGTACCGCATTCACATAGGATGGTAGCATTGCAATTTTGCCCATTGGGTCGTTGGTGCAGGAGCAAAACTTCAACTGGGATCTGATCTACTTGCAGCGCGGTGAACCGTTTGTAGTTGATCTGCAATGGAATTCCCACTCGGTATATCAACCAGAAAGGACTGACTTGTTAGATTTTGATATGTTTCGATATGTCTTGATCGTTCATAAACCCCTTTGTTTTTGTCCCAAAATGATGCCGAACAGTACTTTAGACTATTTAAATAGGATTTCAGCTGGCATTTTTTTGCGGGTTACTAATTCTATATAACTATAGCTTTAACCACGGCTTCGGTGACTGGTTGCTCGGCCTTTCAAGGCACTCGGCGCTCTATTCCAAGAGTGAAGAGCCTTTGGCGGCTCGGCCGGGACAGCGACATGTGGTATTCCCCGATATGTTTTTTGCTTATTTGGTGATATGTAGTGATCCCCCAGCCCACAAATATATATATAACAGACACATATGCGTATCATACGTGTATTCATGATTCCTATTTCAAAGACTTGGGTTTGATGAAAAAGTTTTTTGTTTTTAATGTTCCCACTGGGAAATCCATTACTTACTTGAGGAATCGATGACAAAAATGGAATTAATGTTTTGGCTTTTTGGATTCCTCAAGCAAATCCAAGAAAAATCGGGATTTCATGATGATAATGATGATATGTCATGAGATACACAAGCTCGATGGTGGTGAATAACATGCTTTGACTATCAACACATCAACAAGGTTCAAGATGGCAAGATGGGTGTATTCTCAATATCTCAAATAAAATTGTGTGGATAATCTACTTTTCTTATCCCATCCCCCGTTCATATTAAACACCGCCATTCTATGGTATCAGTCATTTGTGATTTCAGTCATTTGTGATTTCATCCTCTACTTCAGAAACGGTGATTTAGTTTGGTGTTTTGCTTAAGGGGACGGGATTAATCCGGGCTTGACATTGTCGGTTACATATACAAAGTGTGGAGATGCCGAGGTATGCATTGTATATATATATATATATACATAGCTTGGTGTTTGCGAAGTATGTATTCTCAATTGTGTAACCATGCGGTAGTCCCAAGTTTTTTTTTTTTTAAAACCCTCCCGTGTATCAGCATAAATGGGTCTGATTTAATCCTAAATGGTAGATTTGTTACGATTGAGTTTAACACTGTACTTTTGACAAGTATCAGACCAGCTGGCGGGATGGTCATTCCATGATTGTTTACCATCTATTTCTATGTATATCTTGTAAAACCTGTAAATGCTTTGGGTGGTAATTCTAATAACAGGCAATTTATTGGTTATTCGTGCAATACTAATTGGTAAACTTCATGGTTTTGAGGAGATACCACAATTATGAGGATACAATGGATCCTTAAATAAGATTAAAAATGTTATAACATAAAATCAGTATCAGTATTTCTCAGAAACTATAAGGAGGACATGTTGTGTTTATTGAAGACCAGTGGCAATTTTTATGTGGTTGACCCAATGTCGTAAACGTGAAATCGGGGATGGCTGAATCCCCCTTTTCTACACTTGGGGATGATAAAAACTACTTGGGGATTACCTCATTTTTTTTTGGACATTTCGTCGCATAGGAATGAGGCCAACCCAAATAAACATGAACAACTTCTTCCCTGCAATCAATTATTGTTGGGATTTCCATTTCAGATGTTCTTTGAAGTGCCTATATGTGTTGGAATGTATCTTAGATCATGTAAGGAGGGACAATCCTTTTGAGATGACAGCTAAATAGATAAGCCGTGGAATTAGTTGCAGTACCTGGTTAGTATCCCCTGACAGAACTGAACTATATAGATATATTATATAAATCCATCGGCTTCGGCCCACTTCGGATTCGCAGCAGCCAACTAACTTCATGGCCCATCATGTGTTCCCATTGTGATCCCATCATATCATTGGTATCCAATGGTTGCTGCCAGAAACGCATTTGGTTTTGCCCAAGTAGAATCCCATTGGTTGAGCACTTTTTTTGGTCCCCATGATCATCCCATGTCCCAATACAATCTCTATATAAATGAAGGATAATGAAGGTATCTACATCTCAATAACGGATCAAAGAAAATTTCATACAGACTATCTCCCATATATAATCATATTTCATCCCCAAAATTCAAGGTCTACTGTATATCATCTGGTTGGTGGTTTGGAACATTTTGTTTCCCATATATTGGGAATCATATTCCCAACTGACTTTCATATTTTTCAGAGGGGTAGGTCAACCACCAACCAGATTGTTATTAACCATCATTAACCATCATCATAACCATATATATTAACCATATATTAACAGTATATTAACCACAATGGTAGGTTGAAACCACCAACCAGTCATCAAATTAATCAATGATTAACCATCATTAACCACCATTAACCACTATTAGTCACCCTTTTCCTATGGTTTTCCTATGGTTTTCCCAATGAACCTTTCCCAAGGTCCAACCGGGACTCAGTCGCTTGTGCTTGGCCGGGCACCGCAAGTGGGCGGGCGCCTATGCGCTGAGTCGCCGGGGCCTGGAGAAGTTGACAAAAAGCGGCTACGACACGTGCAGCCTGGAGGCAGCCATTTTTCGGAATTGTCATGGTGTTTTTAGGTGGTTTATAATCTATATCTAAAATATAGCTATATTTACACATATAGGTATGGATCAATACCTATTAATACCATTTTTAGGGGGATGAACATCCATTTACCAGCTATTTTGATGTGAACTACAGGGGTACAAGGTATTGACACACTGCCATATATATATGTATATATGATTATATGTGTGTAAATAGATGGATGGATGGATGGATGGATGGATGGATGGATGGATGGATGGATGGATATATAGAACTCTTTATCCCAAATATATGTATAGATAGATACTAGTAGGTATTTTTTTTGCGTGGATATTATTATATATATTTAATCCATATATAATTGTGTTTCCCCTTTTACTAGGTTAGGCCAGCACCCCCAAGTAGAATTATGTTTTGTTTTTGGGGATGTTTTTTTTGGGTAGCAGTGGAGCTTGGAAACCATAGCCATGTGATCATAGTCTAAAGATATTTGAGCAATCTAGAGCAGCAATATTGTAATCATGGTTGGCATTTGGCCGTGACTAAGGAAAGGCGTGTCTAAGGAGTCTAAGGTGTTTGAATGCAACTGACATTTTTGAAAGGGCGTCCAAGGACGTTTTGCTGTGAAATGGGGAATGCTGAATTGGGATCCACACATCGCCCTGTTTTGGACCGTTTTTGGGCAACAAGCAGTGACATGCACTCAATGTGGATTGATCCACGGCTGTTTAAGTTTCTTTAATGACATGAATGTCGCCAATTACAGACTGGTCCGCTAGGGGTGCTGTCAAAGATATGCAATGCAATGTCTGACCATCATAGTTTGTTAGTTTTATGGTCATGATTACTCTCTGGCCCCATTCACAGATTATTGTCCCAATAATAAAATCCATGTATAGGGTATTTCCAATGGCCATGTTTGATTACCAGAGGGTCAGTGTTGCCAGGTGTTGCTGTTGCCGCTCTGAAAACCCGAGGCATTTTTCCCGTGGACGACTTCTTGCCAGCCTTACACTCCTTCCATCCACGTCCAGTGGCTGGGCCAACGGTTTTCAAGAGTTGGGTAGATGAAACGTACGGATGAAACATTGCCATTTTAACCATGGATGATGTTTACTTGATGTTTACCAGAGGGTGAGTAGTATGTATGTAATACCGTAATTACCTGGACGATGTGAGCCACTCAAAGATCGCAAAGGTGCTGTGGAACTTGTGCAACTGGATAATTGTTCTTGTATTATCTTGTATTGACCATTTTGATTCAGGACGATTTACAAAACAAATATAATGGGATGGAACAAACAAATACTTCTAGCATCTTCTAACATAAGTTCGTCTGCATAATTAAACTGCGATAATTACCCTTTGGCAATCAAACATGGTTTGCTGGAAAATCCACCCTGGAAAGTCTTATCTATGGAGAGGGACATTCCTTTTAGGGAGACTCCTAGAACATTCCGTTTCATTCGTTTTAATTCCAAACAACGGAATTTTGTTCCAAATAATTCCATGTCATTCCATATACGGTAATCATAGTTCATTCCAAATAGTTATTTGTCATTCATACTTTTTAGGTGATTTTAAAGAATTACTTAAATACAATTTGATTATTTTGACTGTGATTTTCTGCCGTTTTTTTTTTGATTGTTGATTGTTGTTTGTTATTCTTACTTTTTTAGTTATAATATGTTTGTTGTTTATTTGTTTTGTGTTTTGTGTTTTGTAGTTTTACATGTTTTGTTCTTTATATGTGTGTTTTTTTTATTTTTTGTTGTTAACTCTTTCTTTGGATGTTTAGTTTTTTTTAGATCTGTTTGTGTTTTTTTAAGGTGTTGAGATTCTTTTTCAATTGTTGGATTGTTTTTCCCCCACCTGCCAGGTGAGGGTTGTTAGATTTTATGTCAGTTGCCTCCTCCTCCTCCTCCTCCTCCGCCTCCTCCTGCCTCGTCCTCCTCTCCTCCTCCTCCTCGTCCTCCTCGTCGTCCTCGTCGTCCTCGTCGTCCTTGCTCAACTGCGACCGCGATCCACAGTGTTCTCTGCCGGACCTCAACCACGACCATCCACGCCCAGTGTTCCTTGCCGGACCTCAACCACGACCATCCACGCCCAATATTCCCTGCCGGACCTCAACCACGACCATCCTCGCCCAGTGTTCCCTGCCGGACCTCAACCACGACCATCCACGCCCAGTGTTCCCTGCCGGACCTCAACCGCGAGTATCCACGCCAAGTGTTCCCTGCCGGAACTCATGTAGGAAGATATGGGACAAAGAATGTGCAGAAGAAAGTTAGAAAGAATGTCAGAAAGAATGTCAGAAGATATGCCAGAAGATATGCCAGATAGAATGCCAAATAGAATGCCAGATAGAATGCCAGAAGAGATGTCAGAATATATGCCAGAAGATATGCCAGATAGAATGCCAGATAATATGCCAGAAGATATGCCAGATAGAATGCCAGATAGAATGCCAGAAGATTTGCCAGATAGATATGCCAGAAGATATGCCAGAAGATATGCCAGAAGATATGCCAGAAGATATGTCAGAATATATGCCAGAAGATATGTCAGATAGAATGCCAGAAGATATGTCAGAATATATGCCAGAAGATATGCCAGATAGAATGCCAGAAGATATGTCAGAAGATATGCCAGAAGATATGCCAGATAGAATGCCAGATAATATGCCAGAAGATATGCCAGATAGAATACCAGATAGAATGCCAGAAGATTTGCCAGATAGAATGCCAGAAAATATGCCAGAAGATATGCCAGATAGATATGCCAGATAGAATGCCAGATTGAATGCCAGAAGATATGTCAGATAGAGTGCCAGAAGATATGCCAGATAGAATGGCAGAAGATTTGCCAGATAGAATGCCAGAAGATTTGCCAGATAGAATGTCAAATAGAATGTCAGAAGATATGTCAGATAGAATGCCAGAAGATTTGCCAGTAAGAAAATGTATAAATGTCATGGTGGGGATCACACGAAGTAAAGTAATTTTTGTTTTGTTTGCTTTTTTTGAGTTTATTTTGAACAGATAGCAACTTTTAGGAGTAGCCCTGTTAGGAGTAGCCCAGGGCTCTTTAATGATTTATTTCCATGATGTTTCTATTTCCATGGCCATTTAGTTCGTGGATTTCCCAGTCAGGTTTGATGACACAGCTGCCATGCCCAGGACATCCGAAGCCTTCCCTGTGTTGACACGGACACGACTTTCGTCGCCTTGACCTTTCCACAGGAAGCTGCTTTGATCCAGGCACTCGGAAGGGCCGATGGGAATCTGGATCAACTGGACCAACTGGATCAATTACAATTTATAATGGAATAGTTAGTCAGGGGTAAGTGTATGTAACTGTCCTTCATCGTGGCATATTTTCCCGAGGTGGAGGATCGAGGATCGGCGCCTTGCCGGAACTTGATGCTGTCATGGAGGGTTCATTCCGTCAATGGGGGATTCCCATATTTAGAATGGAACATCCTATAAAAATGGATGATTTAGGGGTACCCCCGTACCCCCATGGATTGGAAACCTCCATATGATACTGGCAATGGTTTATGCAATTTTATGCAATAATGTGTTGCATTTGATTCTCGGAAACTGACCTGATCATTTGATTCAACCGTGGTATTCATGTGAAGGCATTCAGGGTTCCCCAGATGGGTCAGCCATTGGGATGGCTTCTGTCCATGTGAGACATGCTGAGGTAAGCAAGTTCTCCACTGTGATCCTGGGGGACTTAGGAGCCTCCATTGGAGAAGAGGAGAGGTCCTGCTTGGAAGCCTGGGGGTTCGCCAAGAGGTTGCTGGACCTACTTGGATTACACTGGAGTTTGGACAATTTCATAATTTCACTATCAGTTGGAGTTTCATTGGTAAGGGCATGGGTCAAAATTGGATACTCCAAGAATTGGGTGATTCATACGAACCATAGACTTTAATCTGTGGTCCCCCAGGTCATGATTGTATATATATATATATATATATACACATATTATATATATATACATATACATATGTTCATATATGTTCTCAATCTCAATATTCGTAGGCACAGCACATGCAAGCCAGGAGGATCTGGCAGCGCTCCGCATGACCTTGGAGGAAGCCACCAAGCGAGAGTTGCTGGTGGAGGACGTGAGTAGCAACGACCCGTGGCAGATGTCAAGACTTGACCAAATATTGGGTGAGATGTTCAGCAAAGAAAAATGGGCTCATGTTCAGCATATAGTCAGGACTTTACGTTACAGTTGTTCAGACAAAAGGAGGTTATGCTCATCCAGAAAGAATCTTTTCGAGCTATGACTTGACCAGAAAAAAATCTACAGAACCAATGAGATCACCCGTTACAGTTTCGATGCCGCCATTTGATTGTTAGATTTCACAATTAATTTCTAGATACGAGGGTTTCTTAATATGGGGATCCTCTTAAAACAATGAGGTGTAATACCAAACTGGTTCAATTTGGATGATTTGCGGGTAACCCCATGTCAGAAAACCTCTATATTGTGATTTGTTTTCTCTATCTTGATGTTCGCCATTGTTGGGAAGTCCCACATGATTACCTCTGAGTCCTCCAGCTGACCTTGGACAAACTTGGAAGCCCGCTGGCGGTTTCATGTGTTTCTATCCCTTATCCCTTAATATGTGGAATGTGGAGGTTTCCTAAAAGGGGGCAACCCAAATCATTCAAAATTAGACAATTTTAAGCAATTTCACACAATTTTACTTACAATTGAAACTTGAAACCCATGGTTTTGGAATGTGTTGAGGATCCCCCCTTTATAGAAACCCATACTGTATATTGTGGAACAATGATCCCAATTTTCTCTCATTCTTCGGGTGGATGGCTTAATGAAACTTCATCATCCACCAGTTATGGATCCGACAAGAAAACCCCTCTTTTTTTTTTGGCTGGCACATTCCCATTCTGAATGCCTCCCCTACTGCAAAGGTTCCATGCTTTCTTGGCATGGTAAAATGACTTAACCATATATATAAATAAATATTCCTTATGTTTTTCTATGGCTCGAAATTTTCCGAACCTTTCCGTGATCCCCTCCTGAGGATGGACTGGCGAAGGCTGCTGCCATCATGCAGAAGCAGGGCTTTGTGCCTGCGTTACAAATGGGGGACCAATGGACCGTCAAAATTGAACGGCGTCTAATCTGTGGTAAGTTACTGCAACAGTTTGCTTTGGAAAACGACCATGTTGAATAGGTAAATCATATATAAACAGGCCAGGCCATGTTAAATACGTTTGTTGAATTATCATAGGGTAATTAAACGAAACAGAGATTAAACATGATCAAGACATGGGGAGCTGGTTAGGTTTCAAGGTGGTACTAACAGACTCAACAGACTCAACAGACCACCATTGTTGAAGGTCAATAAATTTGAACCATAACCACTGCAAGGATTAAATTGTACAACAGGGAACTTGGTTTACACACATGATCTAATGATTGAATGGGCAACATGTGTGTTTTCTTCGATTTACATCAGTATGTCAAAAATTGGGGGCATGTGTTTTTTTCTCCACAGTGCCACTTGCTAGCCCCCACATTGGTTATTGCGGGCATGTTGGATGCCCAGCCAGGGATTAGACCTTGTTGGCTTCCGTCCAAATCGTGCCATCGTACCATGGGGACATATACCAGAGGGTTTCCAATAACTATGGACCTGCCGATGAGTGTTTACCCTCTGGTAAATTGTCACATAACTGTGGAAAATCACTATGTTTAATGGGTAAAATCCACTATTTCTATGGCCATGTTCAATAACTATTTTGACATAACCAGAGAGAGTAAGAGTTCTCGATAGAATTTGTGAATGTTCAATCCCTATGGCTGGGATTTTAGGTCGACGCAGTGTGGGGGGGAAACTCTGAAATATGTAGATACTGTATGGGGAAAGTTGGGTATCCCTCAATGAACTGAATAGTTATCACTTTCCCAGTAAAATCTCCATGCGTTTGGCCATAAATCCCTCATTTGCGATGGCAGCGCCCGTCAAGGTCTTGGTGCAGCTGCCAGAGTGTACCTTGACCAGCTTAGTTAGGCCCAGAAAGGTTCTTCAGTTTTTTCGCTGAGGTCAAAAAGTTCGAAGTATGCAGAACTGGGTCTGCCGGAGATGTGTGGACATAAAGCGATAGTAGATGGGTAATCTAAGCAAACTTTATAACGGTGGGCTCCACCTTTTGAGGGCATTCTGAGGGGCAAAGTTTCTGGTGGGTGCTCAGGCCTTTGTTAGTGCAGCAGAGAAATCACTGCGCAGTGACACTATTGAGTTTGCTGGAATCCATTGCTCATGGAATTCCAGCCATTTTTTGAAGCATCCATTGCGAGAAAATCCTGCCAACATCGGGCCGCAGGTGAAGCTACCCGTTATTTTCTTCGCACAGAAGTTGAATGAGATGATACGGGATGACACAATAGTACAACATCTCTGCCTGGTATAAAACATGGTTATTAGATGTTATTAGATATGGCATTCGCTGAAAATGTTAGTTATTTATTAATCATTATTTAGTTTTTCCCCACCTGCCAGGTGAGGGTTGTTAGATTTTATCAGAGCGCATGCCCGCCCGCCGCCTCCTCCTCCTCCTCCTCGACTAGCTGTCCTCCTCGCCCTCCTCCTCGCCTCCGCCTCTTCCACCTCCACTTCCGCCTTGCCAACCTTGCCAACTCGTCGCCAAGCTCTTCGCCAACTTCCCAGCTCAGTGCGCACTGCTGGACCTCAACCTGCGAGGTGGCCAGCTCAGTGTGCAGCGCTGGACCTCAACCTGCGAGCTGCCCAGCTCAGTGTCCACCGCTGGACCTCAACCGGGGACCTGCCCAGCTCAGTGTGCACCGCTGGACCTCAACCGGGGACCTTCCCAGCTCAGTGTGCACCGCTGGACCTCAACCGGGGACCTGCCCAGCTCAGTGTGCACTGCTGGACCTCAACCGGGGACCTGCCCAGCTCAGTGTGCACCGCTGGACCTCAACCGGGGACCTGCCCAGCTGGACATCAACCTGGGACCTGCCCAGCTCAGTGTGCACCGCTGGACCTCAACGGCCAGATAGAATGCCAGAAGATATGCCAGATAAAATGCCACAAGATATGCCAGATAGAATGCCAGAAGATTTGCCAGATAAAATGCCAGAAGATATGCCAGAAGATATGCCAGAACATATGCCAGAAGTTATGCCAGAAGATATGCCAGAACATATGCCAGAAGAAATGCCAGAAGATATGCCAGAAGATATGTCAGATAGAATGCCAGAAGATATGCCAGATAGAATGCCAGAAGATATGTCAGATAGAATGCCAGAAGATTTGCCAGATAGAATGCCAGAAGATATGCCAGAACATATGCCAGAAGTTATGCCAGATAGAATGCCAGATAGCATGCCAGAAGATATGTCAGATAGAATGCCAGAAGATTTGCCAGTAAGAAGATGTATAAATGTCATGGTGGGGATCACACGAAGTACTGTAAAGCAATTTATGTATTTATTTATTCATTCATTTTTTAATTTTATTTATTTATTTATATCTATGTTTTGTTTCCTTTGCGTTTTGTGAGGGGAGGGGGTCCCGGGTCGCAAATCCAAGTAGATCAAGAGTTCAAAGCTTTGAAGGTCGGGACATAGGCATATCTGCAGCTGTATGTAGGATTGTATAGGTTATATTGCCCTCTGGTTATTTAACGTAGCCATGGAAAATCACCATTTTTCATAGGTAAACCATCTATAAGTGGACCATCTAATCTATTCCATGGCTATGTTAAATAACCAGAGTGTACTATATGTATATTACTACCTTCCAGTAAATTGACATATGGAACATCCACCATGTTTAGATCAAGTTCTAGGGAAAAAAGTGTCGAGTTTTCATCTCTATGCCAATGCAGTCCAGGATGCATATCATTCTGGTTTGAGATATACTGTATATATATATGTGTGTAAATCCCATATACTAATATATATATATAATTATATATATATGTGAATGTCCCCCTGATTTTCACAAAATTCTGGTTGGTTCAACTGCCATTTTTTCATGGATATCCCGGATGCCGCTCCAGTCCGGCGCCGGCCGCTTGAGGTCAGGAGATCTTTGAGGCGGCGGAGAAGCTTTGGCAGAGCTTCTTTCTTCAAGAGGCAACGAAAATGGCAGGGGAAATGATGGGTTTATTGGGCGAAAATGATGGTTTACCCTCTGGAAAAGGTTCACAGTTTGTGATTTGGGAAATCACCATGACTGTTTACTGGGAAAATGAACATCCATCTATAAATGGATGATAAATGGATGGTAACTATAGGATGTACCCCCCATGATAACTAGGACACCTCCATATCTCTGGTGATTTTCACAGTGATTTAGGAAATTGCCATTAAAAAAAAAAACATATAAATCATCGATGATCCATATTTTCCATAGCTATAGCTAAATTACCGGAGGGTAACCAACCGACATGGTGGCAACATGGGGATATAATTGGATGGACATATTCTTCTAAATTGGCAGATTTAAATACCTAGACCCTCAATTGACCCATCAACATAAGGTATTTACGATTTACCCCATTATTTCAAAACTGTTACCCTTTTTGTTTAGGGGTCAACCGAGGGTCAAGGTACATTTAAAGAGTACCACCCAAAATGATTTAGAAGAGCATAATCCGACTGGAAAAGTGGCAATTCACTTGTGTGCATCTTTTTTTGGACAGGTTACTACACAGTAGCAATGGTGGAGGTAGAGATATATACAAATTATGTACTCTATGTGTGTATATAAATGATTTATATGTATATATATATATGAGTGTGCGTGTGTTCAGCGACCAATTGATGTGTCTTTTTGCCTTGGTAGTGTAACAGCTCCAGCGATAGCAATCAAAAAGGACCCAGACACCTTGATTGGGGGTGTCAAATGTTTCTTGTAAATTTAGATCCTCGGGATGATGCCCAATGACTTTGCATTATCAGAAATGGAAAGCTGGTGACCCAAAAATGCTACACATTCATACACATTCATCAATCATTCATCTTTGAGACTTATTATCCATCCAGGACCTAGGACACCCATAGATTTCATCCGTAGGAACTATTGTCCAAGCAGGCACCCAATTCAAGAGACTGGGCACCTCGCTCGTCCCATGGGGGCATCCATGATTTGTAGATCATCTTCCGAAGCCAATGTCCAAATTGTACCGTACATATATATATATATATATACAGTTTATATATATATATACACATATCTAAAAATATATATATATGACTATGTATATATATATATATATTTACATATTTGATGATTGGAGGGTATCTCCAATCTGAACTCGAAGCCTGCAATATATTCAGACTTTGACCAGGACAAGGCTTCCTACAGCGGCCTCGAACAACCCCACTGCACTGACCTGCCATTGGCAGATGCGGGCTATACCTTGCAGAACGCGCGGGAACATTTTCACGTGGCTTGCGCAAATGGTTTTATATAATATATATATATATAATCTTTCACGCTCTTTTTATATCATCTTTCACCTTCTGTTTTTATAATATTTCACTTTTTATATCATCTTTCCCGTTCTTTTTATACCATCTGTCACGTTCTTTTTATATCATATTTCACGTTCTTATCTGTCTCCAGTACTGTAGATCTTGCAACGTGTGAAGCATTTCATGCCCAGCTACTAGCAGGCTACCATTTACGTTGAATCCACCAGGTCACAATCTGCTTATTTTCTGTGGCAAGAAGGCTTCAGCCGTTGCTTTTAAAATGACACACACACATTAGACTTAAGAAATGTAGACCTTAGACCTGAATTTGTACGTTTCCGGTTAAGACAAATTAAAACGTACAGAACTGTTGATTGGTTCTCTTGAACGATCCTCTTTGGGGGATCTCCAAAGACTTGACGAAGCATTGTGGCCCTGCAGAATTTGTCTACCACCAGTATCCACTAGGATTCTCAATTGAAGTGGGTATATCTTCCCCAATTTAAGGTCACCCTTTGAATGTTGGGATGTTGTCACTAGGCTTATAGTCACATCTCATGTTCACCCAGCTACGACTGACAAGGCCATATCTGATGCCATACCTGTGGGTGCAGTTCCAGCTATAAACGGATATATGACACTATTAGTCTAATTATTACTATAGCCATAGGGCCTTATATCCCAACTGATGTCCATTACAGTGCCAGGCTTCTACCGTTATACCCAATGTTTTACAGTTAAATATCAACATAAAAATCAGGCAGTTCTGCTTCCAAGTTCTTAGCCCCCCCAGCCTCAAGCCTGGCCCAGTCCCAGGTGGTGCTGGGTCTTGCCGCTCAGCAGCGCTGGCCGTGGGATCCGTCGCAGGCCACTGCGCCGCTGATGGCCGCGCTGCAAGGGCTTTGCCAAAGACTACTGCGAGAGCTGCCGAAGGGGGACGAGTTGGAGGCGGCCTGGCAGCGGGAGATGCTTGGAGTCAACTTGCTTGGTGATTCGAACGATTTATAATGAATTATATATACAGTACATACATACTGTATGTACTGTATATACAGTATATTTATATATATATGTCTTTATGTATTTATGTATTTATTTATTTACATACATGTTGTATCATGTGTTTCTTATTGACATTGGAGATATGTTGGATAGAATTTGTTCATTCATTTCGGTGATTTGATGTTTCAATGATATTTTCTGATAATCATTTTGGATGAACCAACTGAACCATGTGGTGTTTATATTTGGAAATTATTTGCAAAGAATATCAGTATATATATATACACATACATACATATATATATATATATAGTGCCGGGATTTTGATTGAGGAAATGAACGTTAACCAGTTTATTATGGAACGGTTTATTGGGATCGTATTGGGATTATTGTGGTATTGTGGGTTTAGATATAAAAACCATCCGGAGTTTGCAATGGGATTATCGACAAAATTAATTGGAATTATAAGAAGACCTGGAATTTATGAAACCGTGTGCAAAAGATGAGATTAAATTGATATAAATACAACAGTATGAATTATACGGATGAATTATGAAATTCCTATAAGTTATGTTGGCAAAGGCCAATCATTATTATCTTGCCACTCGGATGGTTCTTGTTTTTTGGCTGGAAAAACTGGATCTAAGCCGGCCAACTGCCAAGATCAGTGTGCAGTGTCATGGAGCATCGAAATTTGAACTGCGATGACAGGAAACGCCGTTTGTGCCGATTTTCAAAACATAATTATTGCTGTAACCAGCAAAATATGAAGCTTAGACCAACCAAATGTGGTATGGGCATGCTGTGGAGGACTGGATGTAACATATCATGGTTGGCCTCCATTTCCAGATTGGGATTGGGTTCCTGGCCCATGTTTTTTGCCTTCGATTTCGTTGTTATTCCCATATTATTGATGAGGTCCCCGCATGTTCTTGTGGCTGAATATCCACATTTTGGGCAGACTGTAGTGTGTTTTTGTTCGCTACAGTTGAGTCGTGACAGTAGACACCGGCATACAATACATATTATAATATATATATACATGTATTATAGTTGTTATATTAAATGATGTATATGAGATTCAGCACAAGTATAAGGCTCTAGCAATTCTCGGAGTTGACCCCGCTGCTTTAGGACAGATCTCACTGGAGACGCATCCGTCTTTGACATTTTTCATTACTTTCCAATGCAGCAAAGCGAAGCAGGTGCCCTGAGTCATGTGGGTTTATCTAAATCTAACGCTTTGTCGTGATTCTTTCTCATCAGATTCCCATTTTCAGGAGGTATACATACAGTTTCAGACGGACCCACATGATTGGCGCGAACGCTCGTGATGGGAAATCTCGGGCAACGGTCAAAGTTAAGTTGCCTGGTTTCCGATGTGCAAACTTTTGTTGGATAAGTTAGTGGATGGTGGCCAAATATATATATATATATATGTATATATAATGTGTATATATATACACATACATATACACATCATAACCATAATTACACATCATATGTATATATATATATATTTATACATATCATATATAGATGATTCGCATGGAAAACCCAACTAAACATCAGATTCACAGTTGGATCTGGTTCGTCCTGGGGGCAACAAGCCCAATGGTCCCTTGTGAAAACTCCGCGAAAACGGGTGGTCCGTTGGCCAAATTTGAGGATCCTTCATGATTTGCTTACTGCTGCTTAGTAGGGAATGGATGGGTTGCTGGGGGTTGCTGGGGGTTGCTGGGATGATTATTACTAGTGATGACTGGGATCATTCCCGAAAATTCCCTCCGTTTAGCACCAGCAAGTTTGTCACTCTCACATCTTTACACATCTGCACTGGATTGTTTACTGGATCGCCTAGTGGATTGCTTGGATATGTTTGAATTCCAAGTCTCTAATATGCGGGTTCCAATCGGTCCTCCAATAGATTAAACTTGCAATATCATTTAGATATACAGTATACAGCATATATGAATAGAATTAAATAAATAACTCTCCCTCTCTCTCTATATATATATATATCATTTTTCTCCTGTTAAAGAAAGATTGAATTTGCAAGACGTTGGTGATGGTTGATTGATCCACCTGTTTCGATAGGTCTGGCTATGGCGGCTCACACGGACCCGGGGCTCTTCACTGCGAAGTTTCTGAGTGAAAGCTGTGGCTTGGAGCTATTGGATGTAACTTGGCAGAGCACTGCTCGCTCGAGCGACTGGATGGAGAGCTAATCGTAGATTCAGTCAAAAATTGTATAGATATATAGAAATATACTGGTTGGTGGTTTGGAACATGAATTTTATTCTCCCCAATAGTTGGGATGATGATCCAATCTGACTAATATTTTCAGAGGGGTTGAAACCACCAACCAGTATATATACAGATACACATGCATGTATGTGTTTTTATACCTATGCAACTTCACTATGTCGATGTAATTTATGTACTTTTTCTATTGTGTAATAGTGTATTATATAATGTTTATAGGACATCATAGACTATTAGCGAATATTGCAGAATATGATCTAACGATATCAAATAATATAAGACAGCATACTGTAATATGACGTTTTACGTAATTTAATATTTGATAATATAAAATAATGAAATATAATAAACTATATATGACTTAAAAGACAAAAACACATAATATATATATATATATTGTAATACAATATATTACTTTTCAATCATGAGTTGATATAATGTAGTATAGTTGATACAATTTACCATAGTATGATATTATATAGTTTAGTATAATATGATCTAATATAACGTGAAGTAACTCAATTCGATATATTATAATATGATATTCTTTAAACCATGATAATATAATAAAAGATAATCTGATTGAAAATAGAACACATGATTTAATACAGTGTGATATTATATTTATAGTTTGGTACCAAATTATGAAAAATAACTTGGATACTGTAGAGTGATTTAATAGAACATAATATAGATACAATATTATTTAATTTCATTTCAATATAATACAATCTTTAAAAACCATATTATTTGTTGGAACCTTTAAATCGTAACAGCATATATATATATATATATCATACTGACCTATATCTATTTTTTTGAATATATATATATATATATACATACAGATACATACATTTTCATAGACCTATCAGCGATGAATTGGTGATTTCCAACCAATCGCGCATCAATCAAAAACAAATGTGAGTAGAATCATAGATAAAGTCTTCTGACTGGATATATATATATATATAGAAGATTGTAACCCACTTATTATCACCAGCTAACCAACTCCACGGTCCATCTACCATGCAATCCTTCCAAAATGTTTATTAGTCGTCCACTGCTATGATGATCCTATTGTAATCCCATTAGCTAACCCAAAAAATGCTGGTTGAATCTCCCCATTTCGCCAACTCCGAGTTCCCATCTCGAGGTGCATGGAGATTGGTTGGCCATCGAGGAGCTTCGAGGAGCTTCGGGGTCGGGCCACTGGGCGCCTTGGCTCCGCAGAAAATGATGGGAACACGGGGATGAAAATGATGGGATTTCAGCAATTTCATGGGATGGAAAGGCCCTTTTCGTGGCTGAATCATGTTGAATCCCATCCCTCTATTTTCTGAAGAACCCCAATTCTGTGGTCCCAAAGATATGGTTAAAACTAGGAAACACCATGGTTTCTGAGGGTGTTGAATGGGGGAACGGATTAGCAGCTATCATTGGGGGAGTCGCCTTCTTGGGCAGATATAGCTAGGACCAAACAACAGATATAGATGGGCTATGAACCACCTACAGTAATACTTGAAAGGCGTCCCCCAAGTACAATCTGTAAAAAGGATGAGAGGGCTACAACAAATGATGGGATATGCCCGGTGCCCATAAAACCTGGCAAAATGCAACTACTGAAAATCACATTATTTCAGGATAATTTGATTCCCCACCTGCCAGGTGAGGGTTGTTAGATTTTATGTCAGTTGCCTGCTCCTCTCCTCCTCTCCTCTCCTCCTCCTCCTCCTGCTCAACCGCGACCCTCGACGCACAGTGTTCTCTGTCGGACCTCAACCACGACCATCCACGCCCAGTGTTCCCTGCCGGACCTCAACCACGACCATCCCCGCCCAGTGTTCCCTGCCGGACCTCAACCACGACCATCCACGCCCAGTGTTCCCTGCCGGACCTCAACCGCGAGTATCCACGCCAAGTGTTCCCTGCCGGACCTCATGTAGGAAGATATGGGACAAAGAATGTGCAGAAGAAAGTTAGAAAGAATGTCAGACAAGTATGTTATATATTACTTGCAAACTCGCGCGTGTGTGGTAGAGTGACCGGGGCAATGCCACTTCTTACTTTGCAGGTGGCAAAGTTTGAAGCAATCAGTTTGAACAGATGACAGAGTCACTGGGGTGGACAGAGACATTTCCACTTCTGTACCTTTGGAGCTGTTTGCAAAGACGCTTGAGACAGGCAACATCTTACAGCAAGTTACTACAAATTACTTGAAGTGATCTCATGCTGGATTGATGCTTGAGACAGTCAACATCACACACGGGTTTCTGTTGTGTATCACAGCTATGGTGGCATGGTGGATATGTGACATCGGAACATTTGTTGGAGCATTTGAGCCCTCATCTACTCGATCGCGGGCCAGAGGCAGGATGGACATCATCATAGAAGAATTCAGCAGGAGGAGGTTGTGTGATCAGTAGTGTCTTCTTGCGTGTTTTTGTTTGCTTGGCAGGTGATGGCAGAGGGTGACCAATCTGCGAGTGCTGCGCAGGCGAGGAGTTTGAGTGGAAGTAAGCACATTGGCCAGTGGCTGCTGGAATTGGTGCATGCAGAGTTCAAAATTGATTTGAAGCTAGGCGAGGAAACCGAGAAAATTGAAGTGATTCGCTGGCAGTTTCCTCTTTTGCATGGCATGCTGCGCACTGCTTACAGCGCGCAAGGCTTGACTTTGGACGGAGGTGTGCTGGTTGATTTGCGTCGTGGTGGTGGCCTAGAGGATGCCGACTGGTGGCTAGCCATCTATGTCATGCTGACGCGTGCCCGCAAACTGAAGAATCTCATCTTGCTGGGGTTCACGGAGCAAGTGGAGGAGCTTTTACGCAGAGGCCCTCCTACCTACTTGCGAGAACTGACTGACAAGTTGGAAACCAAAGCTGCTTCGACGCTGGAGCGGCTGCAGTCCTGGCCTGTCTATGATGCATTGCAAGCATCCTGACACAGTGCTCTGCCAGTGGGACCTAATCGGTTTTGACTGAAGAGGTCCGGGGGAGGCATAGGCCTGACACGTTGCTCTACCTGTGGGACCTAATCGGTTTTGATTGAAGAGGTCTGGTGGAGGAATAGAGAGTTGCAGCTGCAGCGATCTGGTGAAGTAACACTGGCATGGTTTTGTCTAGTTTACACACGAGCTTGCGAGCTTTTGACTTTGGTTCAGGTGGTCCACTGGCTTGTTTCAGTCATGTTTTTACAAACATGTTTGACAGGCGGTGTGCTGACATGTTTGGGCATGTTTGTTTGTTTGGCTCAGGTGGTCCACTGGCCTGTTTGGTCATGTTTAAGCAAACCTGTTGAGAGCTCTGGAGTTTACTTCACATGGCCCACTGACATGTTTATATCCTGTTTGACAGACTGACATGCACAATGACCTGCCAGGTGAAACAAATGATTGGGATAGTCAGTTGGGCAAAAGTCCCGTGACAAAAGCTTCAGACAAAAGTGGTGTCAACAAGCTGTTTTGAAATGTCATGGTGGGGATCACTCGAAGCAAAGTATTTTTTTTAAACGTGACAGTTGGAAGGGCTCAAGCCGCCTTCCATGAGTTTGCCCTGGATCTGAGGATTCGAGGCGACCGTTGGTCCTCATTTTCCGTATGAAAATTGTCAGTTTGTAGCATCCTTTTTTACAGACAGACCCATATTACAAAAATATTTCATTTACGATACTCAATCCTGCCTTTACATACAAAACTTATCTGGGTAAAGACATCCCAAGACCAGCCACAATTCACCATGGGATCCCATGCAAAATCCCCCCCAAATCATCTATTTTTTCCATAGGATTTTCCATGATAAAATCCAGCTATTGGGGTACCTCCATTTAACGAAACAGCGATATCATGAGTTTAGACAAACAATAGGTGAGCTGCAATACTTGAGATGATCCACAAACTTCAGGTTCTGGTTTTGGCAGCCGATCTCCTAGAGCGTTGGACGCACGGTGCTGTGTGCAGCTGTCGCCATCGCGTACGCGGCCCCGCGCAGTCTGCCGGGCGCCTGTCTTTGGTTTACGACGCTTGGGCCTGGGGACTGGGATGATTCTATTGAACCAACAACAATGGTGGGTCAACCAGCCAAAATAGAGCGTTTAGCAAGCAAGAAGAAAAAATTAAACTCACAAACATGGCGGTGTAACCAACAAGGATGTGGGTTGAACCATCCAAAAATGTGGCTTGACCAACACAAAAACATAGGGTTTCATCATTTCATCAGCACGAATGATGATTGTCGGGCGCAAACCATACCAACTGAATCTTGGACAACACCAAGAACGATGGCTTATTTCCAGTCCGAGACTTCTCCGTTTTTTGCCCAGAGAATCCTGAAAGTGCCCCACCTTGAAACAAAGAATGGGAACCCAATTTTGGGACATGTCCAATAGGAATGAAGACTCATTACGCTCAAATGTCGTAACCCTACACTTTTGGGGGTTACAATGGGTTAAATGATGTTATTTTTCAGCACTAATGTTATATAAGTTATATATATATATATATGGTTGGTAAGTGGGACATACATTCTGGATCATTCTATCCCAGCAACAGTGCAGAACTCTCAGTTGTGGATGTGTCAGGCAAGGAGAGTGAGCGTCGTTGGTTTTTTTTGGGGGTAAATGGGGAAAGTTGGCCATGTGATGAGCCCAGGATCTATGGTTCCATAGGATTACACCAGCAAAAGCCGATAGGAAACTGGGAGATGAGATGAATGAACAGTAGATGCGTTATCGGATAAGGCATGGTATGAACAGATAGCGGCTTTCCTTGCAGAAAACATGAAGACACACGAAGCACAAAAATGTGCTCGGAGAGTAATTTGTTTTTTTTCATGTTTTTGTTCTGAAAATAGGGTACCCCTAAATCCATGAATTAGTTCATCATCAGTTTCCCTTTTAAATTGCCATTTTATGGGTATACCACCATTTTCGGACAGACCCATTTAACATTGAAATGAAACTCATCCTTCGTTCAAGTTGTCGGCATGTTTGACACTGGGCTTGTCCACCCCGGCACCCAAGGAGATGAGAGTTTTGCGTGAAGGTGTTGCCTTGGAGGATGTGGAAAAATCGCGATCAGCGGCGGGTCAAAACGAAGTTTTGACAGTTTGCCAATTGACATTTCCGGGTTTGTCAGATTGTTTGCTTGATTGTTATATATTAGATTATATTGGATTGTTCCTCTAAAAAACAACGGTTTGTTAAACATCATGCAACCCATCAGAAAAAAACAAAAACAAAAAAACGCACACATTGGAGTATACCCCAGTTTCAGTCTCACCATCACAGCGTCAAAATATGTGGGTTTATCCAAGCCATGGATTTTGCTGCTGGGAATTGTCAAGACATGTCAAGACTTTCCTCCAACACAATCATGAATCAGTCACTGATTGGTGGTTTGGAACATGTTTTTTTCCATATATTGGGAATTTCATCATCCCAACTGACTTTCATATTTTTCAAGATGGTTAGTCAACCACCAACCAGGTCATCTCGCCAAGTCAGATCTTCTTCATGCTTTGAATATACTGACGCCTGGCTCAGGCGATGGAGTCCTTCCTAAATAAGTGCTCCAAATGCAGAGTCACCAATAAGCTTCGTTGGTGTATTTATAGAATGACGGTTTCAAAAAGTGCCATGCCAGATCATTGTCAATTTTGTGGACTATATAGTTGTATCATGTTGTATCATGTTGCACAACCCTACAACCCATATCATTGGCATGGCATTTTTTGCCGACTTAGTCTATTACTTCTCGAATGACAGTGCCATTCTTTGTCTGACTCTGTGCAGGTGGGACGTTCCCTTGGCGAGGCGGGGAGCAGATGGATCATTTGGCAGTCAAGACCCAAGGGCACCCAAACGGTAACCTCAAATAGCTGGATGCTGGATATTTATTTTGAATATAGTTTGACAAATATATGGATCAATGAAAAGGTCATAAACAGATTTTGACCCATCCCCTTTTGATATATTTGTTTCCCCCTAATGGTAACTACCTTCCACGAAATCCACCTGGATTTGTTGATTTCAGTTGTCCATAAGAAGTGATGGGATTGCTGAGCTTGGGACACCGTGAATTAGGGCTAGAACTTGGATTGAGAATATATATATATATATATATACATGCATGCATTCATGCATGCATGCATGCATACATACATACATATATATATATATATAGCCCTTATCGTTGTGGCTTTCCGACTTTCATGAAATTAAGGGGAAGTGACCGGCCTTTGCGGTGTGTGTTTAGACACTGACGGGCAATGTGCAATGGAAGCTTCGAGACCCCTTTGGAAGACCATCAGGTTGAGGGGTTCATGGCATTGGTAATCCGTAATCTATTCATAATCTATTACCCTCTGGTAAATAAACATAGACCCTGAAAATCACCAATTTTTAATGGAAACTAGTCTTCCAACCAACAACTGCCAGGGTCTATGTTAATTTACCAGAGGGTAACAATAACGGTTGATGTCCCAAGAAATGTGTTTCAGCCTGCGATTCCGGCGATGCTTGGACGCTGTTTGAGATGTTGTCACAACCGCCACAAGTTTCGTTCGCTCAAAACGCGGCCGTTTGGGGCTCAGTTTCGGCCTAAAAGGGCAATAGGTTCCCAGGTTGAGACGATGCCAGAAGAGGGGTCCAAGATAAGCACTGGCTGCGCATGAATTCAATGTTTGATCAAAATCCTGTTGGTGGTAGGTCTACAGAGAACGCATGTCTGGTCTCATTTTGTTCCTGTAGGCGTCCCTTATTGCATGTTTTTTTCCATTGCTACCTGACTGCACATGTGGAATCGTCATATTGTGCATAAAAATTGAAATGGTCCCCTGGACTTATGTTCAAGAAATATGTGATCATGAGTGTATATTCTTCAAACAAACCGTTTCGCGGACACTTTGTTGTTTCATGTTGGAAATATTTGATACATTCTTATGTTACATCTGGCTCAGGGTTTTTTCAAGATTGGACTTGGACTAACAACACAGGGAATTTGAACACATCATCAGTACACACACGCAAGTTTGTTAAAACCAGATAGTCTGAGACTAAACAGCTCAAGATGTCAGCAACCTTGATGACCCAACGAAAGGAACATCCAACTTGGATCCCTCGATTGATGCTCACAAAATCTTCACAGTTGATCTGCCAGCGTGATGCTTGCACCCAGAACCGCTCTCTTTTCATGCAACCAATTATATTTATGTTCTTGAACCAATGACTCTAGGTGTCTCTGAACATTGGCAATAAAAATGATGTTGGATGGTTTATATCTTGAACATGTACTCGCAGAAATTGTGTGGACTCGAAGAAATTGTGAAGGATTCATCATCTGTATTGTCCTTGAACAAGAATATACGTCTTCCTGCGGACCTACGTTTGATATTTTTTATTGTTCAATCATGTTTAATCCGCCAGCGTGGCCAGCAATTCATAGCAAATAAATGCAAATGGGGATAGAGTGATCACGTTCAAGACATTGGGAAATTATATAATCATACTGCTAATATTGCGTAGAACTGAACAAACAGGAAAAAGGTTATAATTTAATATAAATATATATATATATATAATATTATATATGTATATAGTTTTTGTTTTAAATATAATAGACATATTGGGTAGACACGAAAAATGATGGGACGTCATTCAAAAAAGTCCAAACCAGTAACAAAGCTCAAATTGTTCCATCTATTTCTGGTAGAATTGAAGGTAGTTTATAGAAACAAACAAGGGATGCAATATTATGGGGATGGATCGAAACCTATTGAACCATCCCAGCTTTGGGGTGAACAGAAGGGCCGCATGGCCGCATGACCATATGACTAAATTTGAAAAGAAAAAACATGTGCATTGCATGTGTTTTGACCTGGCAGTCACTGTGAGATACTGTAGATTTGGCCATCGCTGTCGCTGCCCCGCAGATTTTATTGCCGTGTGTCGCGCAGTGTGTTGGTGGAACTTTTCACTGACTTACACCTGCGGGGGCTCATGGTACCCCATGGTACCCTCAGATTACCCTGTTGTTCCAGATTTTGGTTTATTTATGCCTCAACTTTGAGTTGGATAAAGGGATCATTTACAGGAAACCTAGTTTATTGTATAGGGTAAAGCTTCATGCGTTCCTTCGTGTAAACCAATCCACGAAGATGCACCGCACCGCATCTATTGGGTACTTTAGAGGCAAACATTGGCAAGTCACCTCCATTGTATGGTCCAACAAATCGGTAAATCCCCCTGCTAAAGCATGGCTTTTGGGATGTGTTTACATAACTCACTGGTGGTTTGGAGCATTTTCTATTTTTCTATTTAAATATATATGTATATATATATATATATATATTGGGAACAATAATCTCATTTGACTAATATTTTTCAGAGGGGTTGAAACCACCAACGGTAGACATAACATTGAGGGAATGGGCTTACAATAGAGGCTAATAAAACATCTTGGAATATTGTGCTCTTATATAAAGTCTCTCTTTATGGCCTGCCCGAAGAGGACAAGGATCATTTTAATGTGGGATCCAGTACATTCTTGGGAAATTTGTTATAGCCATGGAAAACGGCCCATTTAAAAGAATTATGATGCATGATGACGAGTTACCCAATACAAATCGAGAATCCTGGTGATTATCCAGAACTGCATTAAATTACCGCAGGGTGTTAAGCCAATTGTGGATCCTGCATGAAACATAGTCTTGGGTTTCATGTTCTCGCGAACATGTGATCTTTGCCATGAGGACTCTTCATGTTTGGAAGTCGTTGCTCCATCTTCAGTTTGCTATCTCCAATGGTGTTGAGTGTGCTTGTCTATATATATATATACATACAATAACCTTCACAATCAAACACATACCTTGAGGCAGTTTGAGGCAGTCCTTGAGGCAGTTTTTGAGGCAGGAATACCTCGCTGTTGTGAAGAGGGTCCCATAATCTTCTGTGTGGTGTGAACGTGATTGAACGGCATGATTGCAGTGTATGTTATATGTTATATGTTACCCTCCACATGAGACCATATCCCCTTAGATCGTCAATACTTCGATCCAAAGGGTGCCTTGTCTACTGTTGGTTTGTTGGTTACACGGTTACACGTTGAGTTGCTTGCAAAAACATCTTGTAGGTACTGTAGACTCCAGATGACACCCGACTGAAACAAAATGTGTTCTAAAGGAGACCAATATCCTATATATATATACATATATATATATTTGAACCTTCTGCAGAGGGGATCTGTTTATCTGTGCATAAAAATCCGAAGCACCAGTTCTGCTGTTAAGATCCTTTCTTTCCCAGTTCCAAACAACATTGATGACAATGTTTGATGAGCAATTTTCCACACTTCTCAGGTAAGATACATATAAATTTCTGTTGGTGAAAACAGCATAAAAATAAATTAGTTCCACATATTTCTGTGCGAAACCGACCTTTCTACGCAATTTCTCTGGGCCAACCTGGGTTAGATACTTTAGTGCTTTAATCTTTTGCTGCTATGGTAGAATTACTTAATTCACCAGCTCACAAACATATCAAAATTTAGATTTGTTGCCAAGTATCCAAGATTTACTATGCTGTTAATGGTCATTTTCCCTATTGTGATGTGCATAGCCATTTGGAGGTCACGGCTTGACACAGAGGCGACACACCATGGGGCAGCGGCTTAGCTTGACGACGCTGTGCGGCCGTCGGGCTCGGCTACGGCAGCGTGCACACCTGGCAGCATGTCAGACATGTCAAGCGGCTAGGGCGGATGGGAAGCAGGGCTACGAGGTGCGCTGAGCGGCGCAGAGAGATGATGGTGATACCCCTAGCTGGCTCGGCTGGCTGGATGTTTTACGGTTTATGGAGAATCCGAAAAAAACATGGATTTAGGGCTATCCCCATTTTAGGAAACCTCCATAGAAGTATACAATATAGGCGGAAGAATATAGGGCTTCAATTATGGTTGCATTTCTATGTATTTATATCCCTTTTGTGGAAGATGGAGGTTTCCTAAACTAGAAATGCACCAAATTGAGCTAAAGATAGCAGTTCGTGGTAGGTTATCCCATCGAGGTAAATTGATAAACACCCAACGGTTCGACAGTTGGTTATGAAATTGGAGTTTATGATGGTGTTTTTTCGGGTTGGACTATGATAGCTATGGGGATGTCATTGACAAATACCGCTCATTTCTTGGGTGATTATGATATAGTATGATAGCCCAAAGTAGGGAAACCATAGGGAACCTATCAACCAACTAGTGAGATGGGTACCGGCTGGTACCGGGATAGCTTTCAAAAAATGGGTCCGATTTTGGGGGACTTCCATTTTAGGAAACATCCTTAAATTTTGCTATGTAGAATGCGATTTATAATGGGAGCTCATCCCATTAAAGGTCTATCTATAAAAGTGAGATTGAATGGAATTTACTTTACTCGGATTTTCTGGAATTTACCAAAAATAATCATGGTAGTTGGGTAATATAATGGGGATATAATGGGATAAACGGACAAACAATCTGCCTGGATGCGTCCAAAAGATTGGGATACTCAAAATGGATCAAACAAAAAATATGATGAACCTTGCAATTCTAGGGTGCCATAGTTTCAAAATGTTTCAAACATAGTCGTATGGGGTAGATTTACCTAATTAGAAGGATTCACAATTGGTATCAGGGAACATAAGGCTTTGAAATAGGGAAGTTGTTTTTTGCATAATCTCAAGACAAATCAAAGACACAAAAGGAAAGCACGATCCAGAAGGAGAAGACCAGGGATGAATCATACACTGCTTGGCCCTGTAGCCAGTTGTAAATGGGATGAAATCATTCCTGAAACCAAGGTCATATATATATATATATACAATTATATATATTTATAATATATATATATATAGATATTATGCCCACTTATATGATGAGATATGCAAGGTGTATGGGTTGTGTGCTTGATGATCCAAGGGGGGCAAATCTCTCAGTTGCTGATGGGAATCCGATGCCTCACTCACATTGAGAGATTCTGGGCGGCGTGGGTGTTGAGTGGTTCACAGTTCACATGTTGAAGTTTTAAGTATAAACCAGCAATATTCCAAGCAGAATGTGGTGAGAGGTTCTTTGTTTGCCACTTCACTAGTATCTCGTAGAACATCCCAAAGCATGCCTGCTTTATGATATTCCCAATTTCTCAGGCCATAGATGGGGCATGTCAAACAGATCAAACAGTGCAGACTCTGCAGACCCCAAACCTACATTAGGCGCGGCTTGAAACCGCCGATGAGAGTGTCCACAACTTGTGGCGTCACATCCTACTTCAATTTTAACCAAGTTCAATTATATTATATAACTTCCTTTCTTTCGTGTTGATAAGAGTTTGGAGTCTGGAGTGGATCATTAGGATCAATTTCATGCGGTTTTCAAGACACCTTAATGATCCTTAGTGTTCTATGTAATTCCCATCGAATGTTAGGCAGAAGAATCATACCGTAGACTCAATGTACATGTACATCCAGCATTTGATTGAACTTATCATTGATACTACCTGTTATCATCATGAGGGTCAGATCCTCATTTTTGATGGTCAGGGATCCGCATGTTTGATGGTCAGAACCCTATGGTCAGATCCCCGTTTGATTGATGATAAAATCCCCATGTGTGTGTGTGTTCATGCGCATGTTCCCAAGCAAAGTATCGAATGAGTTGCATGGTTAATATTTGATGGTGATTCACCCGGCTAAATTTTTGGATGAAGTTCATGTCTTTGAGAGAAATATTAGTGATGTTTGTTTGCGACATGCCTATGTTTGTTGGTCAAACTTTTGTTGGTGAAATATCACATATATATATATGTGTGTGGGGATGGGTCAAAACGTATCATTACCATGGGAGAGTTTCCACATCATGAACATTCATGAACCAACTATGTAAGGGTAGTAGGGTACCAAGGTTTTGACCCATAGCATCCCATAACCATATTTTACAGGGGCCGTAAAATGTCATCCAACACGCGGCCTTCGACCGCAGGTCGCACGCTTGGCTGCCGAAGCGGCACAGCAAGCGGTGATGGGATTCGGTTTGCCCTACTGTGAGGCGGAACTGGTCGTTTTCCCCGTCACGGGCCGTTACTGATGTGTGGCCGTTTGGAATCAGGGTGGGAAGGGTGATGATTCATGGCAATGGATATGATATGTTATATATATATATACTAATGGATAACTATAAAGGATGGTGATTTGATGGGATTTGTACAAATCGGAATGGGCTATATAATCTTTGGTGATTAAGAAGTGGAATGCGGAACACTAGTTGCAGACAACCCAACCTAAATTTGGGGTTATTTTCATTTGGGTAAATTACAAGGGTAACCGTCCCCAATTAAATACATAACCGTATTTCAGGTTAATGAACATGTGTGAATTTCCCAGATTCATGGGAACAATAGTTGTAGCATGTTTTAACAGGTTTAAACCAACAACAAAAATGGAAGTTTACACTAGCAACAAGAAACATGGTTTGATGTTGAACATGTTTAACCATGAATCAGATTTGGATCCGTAGAAGAAGTATGAACATATGGTTATTGGCATGTTCCAACCATACACAATTATTGTGATTTTGTTTGACCTCACAATTTTGGAACTTAGCACTAAACTTACATGGTTTACCATCATCTAGTGATATATATATATATATATTATATCACTAGATTATGTTTAAGCAGTGGAACCGGGTCAACCAACCATCAAGTAATCAAAATCACCGGGAATGGCCCAGAGGTCGCGGGTGGCAACCTGTAAACATGGTGATGGAAATTTCGATTGACAGCGGAAAGTTTTCTGCATCCAACACAAATGGTGGATTTCCATGGATTTCCTTCAGATTCATGTGCGTATTTTGCAGATATAGTTGCATCCAGTGTGCAACTTTTTACAAGCCCTGGCAACATCACCTTCAAAAATGCTGCGGATTTCAAAAGTGGTGAGCAGATCCATTGGTTCCCGGAAGGTTTGATGCATAGGGACGTGTTGCAGCTAGTGAACAAGATTCAGGGTCTCTTCAATCATCAGCACTGGCTGCTTAGCACTGCTTAGCTGCTTCATTCAAATGGATTAGTCTGAAAATAGGAGATGTTCCCAATTCTAGCCACGTCAATGGGAAACATAGGGAAAATGAGGACCGTCCAAAGGAATTGGGCCATAGTTTCAGACACACCCAAATCTTGGCCGTCTGGGCGGCCGAGTCACATCCATGACTTGTGAATTTCCGAGTTCTTTGAGCCAAAATTGCGCCCAAAGAAATGAATAGCTGATACTCATTGATATTCAAGACGATCATGTTTTGTGGTTCAGTTTGCACCAGACTTTTGAGGAAACATAGGTACCGATATTGGCCGGAACGAACGAAAAAAGAACAAATGGAACATGGCCAATAGGGCCCGGAAGGTGTAAACAACATCTGCCAACAGCACTTTGGAGAATTACAGCACCAGACACGTGAATATTACCCTGGTGTTGGTTAATTCTAGCGGATGGAGGGATAAAGCAAGAATTAGCCTCTGGTAATGTAACGTAGCTGTGGAGAATCAATATGTTTCATAGGTAAATCATCATAAATCCATCATAATAGTTAAATGGGCCATCTATACCATAGCTATGTAACAAATAACCAGAGGGTAAATGGTCAAAAAGTCCGAGCACAACCGGATTTCCGGTCCCATTTTGGGCCATATTTACGTCACCCAAATGGCCACAAGTCCGGAGGTAGCAGCGGTTGCATTCAAGGCGGCATCAGAAGCGGCCAAGGACGTTACTTTTCGATCGCAAGTTTGCAGGTGAAGAGGTTTGGTGGTTAAAGGTTTATGTGAATTATATCATAATCTTATATATTAAGATAATTAAAGCAAGATAGGAGTTGTACTATAGATTGCAGTAATCGGTTGCAGAAATCATGAATCAGTAGATCACCAAGTTTGAAGGGATTAAACCAGATGGTTTCCCTTTTTGGACTAATCCCATCCCCCTACTATAAAACAATTGCAGGAGAACAGCTTGA